TACGTGGGAACTTAGAAATGTTGTACGTTCAGAGAAGGAATACCAGACACTTACCGTATGTCGCTTATGTACAAGGTAATCCAGTGATTGGTTGTATAGGGTGGCACTTAAGTTGGAAAAATAAGAAAGAAACACCAAAACTTCCAGGAAGGGTTTTAGTAACAATAAAAACAGAACAAACAAACAAAATAACGACACAACGGGCTCGAACAACATTATTAATTAATTTATTGACCCGCCACAGAGCGTTCCGAGATTCAGGGAATGCGCGATCCATAGCAAAATTTAGAATTACTTTATCCATTATTAAATTAACCCGAGACTCTAAAACTAAGTTAGACTGCTCAATGTGAAACTCAATGAACTGCCTGTTTTTTCGAAGATCTCTCCTGCATTCGACACCTCGCATAGACACGCCCATTTCTTGGGTTCAGACGTTTCTGTTCTTATCTTACTGGCGGGAACCCTGAATATCGGGACGCTTTGGCATAACTATGCCATGTTAATAGTTATCTAATGGACTGAATTTACATTTATATAAATAATTGTGTGACTAACTGGCCTGAAAGTAACCCTAGCCTTCCTCTAGTGACTCCGTGTAGCAATACGGGACGGATTAGTCAATCTTATTTAATCTGTTCTTATATCTTGGAAAATCTGCCTAAAAACCAGCTATTTGATCTATTATTCTTTTCCAATTATTATCAATTGAACAACTTATTTAAATATCTTGGAATTCCTACGTGTTCTTATGTTTTTTATGTATGTATGTTATTAATTAGCGTGGACACTTTTACAAGATATTGCGGGTGTAATTACAAGTCGGACCGAACTTTAGCTAGCAGAGTAGTAGTTTCCTACAACAACTTTAATAAAAACTTGACTTTGAATTTGCTTTTTGGCGTACCTAAATATTTTTATCAAAGGCTCGTATGAGTTCATCAAATGAGAATTTTTAGACTTAGTTTGAATTAGTTTAATATGTACATTTTATGGTAGAAGCTTCTATAGTTTAGGATTTGACTGCATTTCTTGTTTATGGGAATTTTCCTAGTTATTTTGTGTTTTTTTTGTTTTCTTCGATGAAAATTTTTTACACTATACACTATAATACACTGCAGGCGAATTAGTTCGAACAATTTAAAAAATATTGACCTTGTTTTCAAGAGGGCTCATTTACCATATTTCTTTTAAATTCATATTTTAAAAAAAACGAGATTATTGTAGCAATTATGGAACACTTAAGTGAGTAGTTGTCATCTTATAGTGAGCAATCACTACAACATGAAGCGACAAGTACCGTTTTTTTGTCATTTGGTGAAATGGCATTCCTAGCTCATAAGACCATCTCGATTCGCACAATGATTTTTTTTACCAAAATTATATGAAAGGTGTGTTAGCAAAAAATAAAAGTTTGTTCAAAATTTCAACTTAATATATTAGTACCAAAATTACTATTAAAAATATTTTATTTGTAATTTTGATACGATATCGAAAAAGGAGCACCTACTTTTTTTGTAACACGCTGTATAAGTATAAAAAATATTTTAAAAAATCTGTGGCAAATAAATCTCTTCAATCGATGTCAGAACCATTTACGAAACATCAGGTTTTTTTCCCATAAATAATGTATCTAAATTAAGTACAACTTCCTATCAACCTAATCCGCACTTTGTACAACAACTTACAACACACCCCCTATCATCCAGTTAAAACAATTGCGTAACGCTGTAACCGTAATTGAAGTCCGATGTTTTACATGTCGCGAGACAGAGGGGTTACAGCTACCCACCGTATAAAGGGTGATGGGGTTGTTGGCTGGGACGCCATTGCGCGAGGAGGGTGACACAATGCGTTGCGCTTCCGGTCTATGCGATTTCTTCTATACAAATTATGCCCTTTTGTTCGCCCTTATGCCGTAATGGGTGTCGTGACAACGGTATATTAGGGGGTTGGTGATTTTTTTAACTCTGCAAGGGGTAAGCAAGGCGATACAATAGCTGAATATTGGATATTTTAAATGTCCGCGGCATACATTTACCAGTAAAAAAACAGATTAATTCTCGTAGTATCGTAATACCAAAAAATTGTTTTACTAAATTGTTTGTCCAACTACTTTAGGACTGATATACTCATTATTATCCTACGTTAGACTGACATTATTTTTATTTTACATCGTCTTTACCTTTGAACCATTGATTATAAAATGCATAATAGGTACATTATGCAACAAGTAATTAAATTGGTTATTAATTAATTATTACTAATGTTGAATATATTTTTTTTCCTAAAGCTGACTAATACGAGATCTCTTCAGCAAGAGTATGTGACGAATTTGCATTGATGTCATCAAAAGTTGGAAAACGGCACTGATTTTAATATCGGAAGTAAGAAACAATCGCAAGGAGACAGTTCTGGCGAGTAAGGAGGGCGGGGGAGGACAATAATATGATTTTTGGCACAAAACTGAGGAATTGATAAAGCTATGTGCGGGCGCATTGTCATGGTGCAAGAACCATGAGATCACGATTCACTGTTTGAGGCAATAATTCAAAATGCACAATTCCATTAAAGTCGAAAAACACTGAGCATCACTTGGGCATTAGATCAAGACGACGTGCTTTCTTGAGCCTTTGCCAATCCATTGTGATGATTGAATTTTTGTCTCAATGTAGTCAGCGATTGGAATTACACATATGTATATTTATTTGCTGTAATTTTGTTCTTTAAATGAAATTTTAAACATTAGAACAATTTGGAAAGGTATTCCAGAAAACATTTTAATAAATGAAATAATAAACCGTTTTATAATAATGTGTAAATCGAGTAAAAAATAAATATCTACGGTGCTATGTTGAATATTTTGTGATAATGATAATTATAATTATTAAGTTTTTTTTAACTTGTTGCTGTTAAACTGAATTAAGAATGATTGCGGAGAAATTTTCAATGTCTTAATAGATTCGAGTTTGTAAATAAGGAAGTGATGTAAATTTTTAGGACTTTTAAATCCAATATTTATTTTTTCTTCAAATAATAAAGAAACTGATAGATATAAAAAAACGTTTGTTTCATTTAATACATTTTTTGAATTTCAATCAGCTTTTTAATAAATTATAATATGAGTATACATAAATTCCCTTACGCACCGGGCAAGCCCTTCGGCTTCACTCGTATATTCCTCGAGTACTTACGTATCATCTTGCGATTTGTCATTGTCGTTTGTTTATGTTTAACTTACAATTGTAGTGGTGGTTTAGGCAAGTTTTTATTGTTTAATAGTTTGGAGTAAAGTAAAATGGCAAGTGAAATTCGCGAATTGGTGAGTAGCAATGTTAATGTATTGTTAATTTTTTTATTAGATAAAAAATTTAGTACGTTGACTTTCGATGATAAATTATTTATTAAATGAATTTGAATGAATGTTTCATCGTCACTGGATTGTTCAAGGAGTTGCCGACAAACGTCCACATGATTTTCTTTCTATTGTTCGGTCAACAAACGAATAACAAAGCTGCAACTTGGTGCATGTTCAATTTTTTAGTCAAAATTTTATGGCAACCTCTTCTGCAATTTCTCCGACAGTCAATCGGTGATTTGCACGCACCAGATCTTTGACTTTCTGAGCACTGAAGTCAGCAGCTGAAGTCAAAGGCCTTCCTAATCGAGGATCATCTTCAATTGACCGTTGACCACTTTTAAATCGTGAAAACCATTCGTATTATTTCAAAAGTTGAAACGTTTCAGTGTTCTCCCCAGTTTCAGCAAAATTTTACGTTGCATCGTTGTTCCAGAAAATCGTACGTTTCAAATATTGTCACACTTAAACACTACATTTAATTAACAATATCATGAAGACTAAAAGAGAAATGAACAATTCAAGGACATGTGGTTACAGAGAAGGTTATGCCCAACGCAATGTTGCCAACATGTATATCACTAAATATTTCCAATAGCGCGTAATTCAAAAAGTTCGGTTATTTTCTGAATAGACCTCGTACTTTAGACGTATTTTTGTCACACACATTCACAAAAACAACATTTTTTGTATCATTCTTAACTAAATTAAAATAATAATATACTTAACACACTTTTAAGTAGTGTAAAATTTATAAATTGAGAACCTAGACAAAACAAAATGATAGGTACCTAGTTTATATTCAAACAAATTTCTAACCAATCTAAACTTTGTTTTTTAAATTTCAAGAAAATTAACTTAAATTTTTATTCATTTCATTTCAATTTTTTTCATTAAAATCGCAACAACTTTAAATTGATTTACCAACATACAGGATCTTACTAACTTCTTTTTTTAATGGTGGCTAGAATGCATCAAGAATTTTTAATAATCAAAAACTGTTAAACTTATTGAGACTTAAATATGTACTAAGTACATAAAAGAAGAATGTAATTGTAATGTAATAATAATAATCGGCCTACTTTAGTCCTTGTAGCGGACATGTATTGTGTTCTTTATTTTGTAAATTATTAGTAGATAAGGTTTTCAAGGTCATTTATTTTTCTGCATTCCTACTTTCAACTGTTTTCTATTTGTAAAGGGGCAGTGTGCCTGCGGTGTGCCTGCGGTGTGTGTATTAATAAAAGTGTATAAACTTATAAAAATCAATACAGTAACAATGAATGAAGACATGGTAGTAACGTTGAAATCTGTGAATTAACTGCATTTGTAAACGCAAACAGAGAGTCAAAGATTTCAAGAAAGTTTTCATCCATGTGGTAAGTCTTTATAGTAGGATCGTATTCGATGCACAGTAGACCAAAAAATTGTCGGTATTTTATTAAAGGAAAATCGTGCCATTATTTTGATCTAAACCTTTTAAAACCGTACTGCACTGGATCCCTTGGCAGGCAATGATTTATTACTTTACATCGAATATATAAAACGATGTATTCTAAATGCAAAAAATATTTCTGGCTATCGAATTTTAACGCCTACATTTATTTACACTAGTAAAATTAACGAGTATAAAAATTCTCACCTGCATTCTCGAATATAATACATTTATAACTAATTCAACAAAAAAACGGTCTGGAAGTGTTCCTCTTGGAATCTGCAACAAAAGTAAAAGAAACATAAATTTATATATTCAAGGATACTTATTTATTATTATTATTATTTAAATTACTTACTAGGTGTGAAAAAAAAACATTGCGCCATTTTTGATAAAATTAAAAAAACAAAAGACGAATTAATATTTTTATAATTCAATGTCTACGTTATATAGTCATTTCTTTTAAACAGAATGATTGTTTTTAGTATTTAATCCGATCGTTTTTTTTTCTGAATCTAACGAAATACGATAACTTGATTTTCGCAAAAATACGCACGGTACTAATTTGAGCCTTGAAAAAAATCAGTGGAGCAGAGGACACTTCAACGATGTATTTCTGTTTTAAGGCTTCTACATAAAATAATTGAACATTTCGAAGAAAACAAGATCAAGAAAACACGAAATATTAGATAACCATATTTTTTCGCCATAATAGTGTGCTACCTTACTTTAACAATGTCTATTCAAGATTTGATTGGTTTCATTTGACAATTTAAGTTATCATCTAGCGTTGAATTGAGAAATATTACATTAACAATAAGTGAAAAAATATATATCTATTTAAAAAATATCAATCGTTTGACAAGGTGAACGTTCAAATAAAAATGATAGTATTTGTCAGTTTGTAGTATTTTTAGAGCCATTGACAATTTGCTATTTTATTTTTTAATTGGACTAATAATGGAGGAATTTACAAGTTTTTACGAGTCAGCAAGTAAGGAAAAAATTTGAATTATCATTTTTCGCAATACTTAAGCATTATAAAATAGCTGTATTACTATAACAAATTACTAACAAATTATTAATAAATTTCCGCTGGAAAAAAAAACCAAAAATTTTAAACTATGAGAATAAGTGTTGTCTATATATTAACTGGATTATTTAACCTTAAGATAATCTTGTTATTATTGAAAACTTCTATAACATTTTTCAATTGCATTTAAAATAAAATTTTCGTATCGGATTCTATCATCAGACAAAACATTTTGCAGAGATGAAATGTGTGCTAAAATGGCTTTTAACTTGACTAAACGGCTATTTAAAGTAATTATTTCCAATGAATATAATTAAATATGAATGGAATGAACACCGTAAGTACCAACATTTGCTTAACTGTATTATTAATTAATATTCTATAGTTTATTTGCGATAATATATTTTGCTTGCGATAGACAACAAAAACAGGTTAATGCTTATTAAAAAAGCATTATTTATTGTCACTTTGTTCTAATACAGCCGTGAGATGCAAAGAAAATATAATTAACAGCGACTTTAATACGTTAGTTTTTGCGATTTTTCTCGGTGGTTACTGAAGCAGGTGTTTACCGACCAAAACCATGCAATTAATAATAAAAAACTTTGTGTGGTTAGGATTTTGCGATGGTCGGCTGCACTCATTGGGCGGGCGATCTGGCTTTCAATTAATCGCTTAAAAACCGTTCATTAACGGATTTCGCGACAAATCATTCTAACCGTTATGCCAACTGAGCTTAGCGAAATAAGACTAATTGATACATTTAGAAGCTGCTGACGATTCAGACATAAATTGGGATTCTGAGCGCAATGATTGGCATTTTTATGCACTTTTTTATATCTCAAGAGGAGCGAAAAAGCTTAGGGTGGATCACCTGCTACATCATAATACCAAAATTTTAAATATAACAATAATACCTATATTTTTTTTATAAAACTGAATTGAGCGATATAATAAATCATAAGCAATCAACTTGTGTCATGAATGTAAAAAGAATGTAAGAAGAATGTAAAAATTACATAGTATAGTCTTTCCAATCTCAATTGAAGAACCAAGAGGTTGGCAGTATGTACCAGGTATAGTGCGATGGGACGCCTATGAAACTCATTAAATTTTATTGCTAGGCGTTTTTATATAACGAGAGTTCAAATAAAAACGTGGTCGAAATTGGCTCTGACACATTGGACGTAGGGAGTAGCTTATAGCGACCAACTTAACCTCATTTCTCAACGAGCTGTATAGCAGCTGTCAGTTTCAATGACGTTAATGACTATATAACTTTATTTTAAAGAATAATCGTGATAACAATAACAAACAATTAAAGGAGCTGCGGAAAGTGTCCTCCTCCTTGTTCCAAGCACTTTTCACACCTGTTCCTCAAAGAATTAAAGACATTTTCTAAGATGCTCGGGGTATTGTTAATTTCACGAATCTTGTCTATAAGTCAAGCCTGCAGATGGTTTAAATCAGGAATAGGCAGTTCAAAAATAGTGTTTTTAAGGTAAGGCCACAAAAAGAAATCACACGGCGTAATATCACATGACCTCGGTGGAAATTCATGTTCAGCATTGAGACTTATTAGTCGATTTTGGAAAACTTCCCTCAACATATTCATCGTCTCGCCTGCCGTATGTGCCCTTGCGCCATCTTGTTGAAAGTAAAAGTTTGTAATTTCGTTTTCTTCCAGCTGGTTAACAAAAGGAGCGATAAGTTCTTCTCTATACCTTTGCTCAGTAAGAGTACCATTAAAAAAAAATAGGTCCATAAATCCTCCTTCGATTGAGAGCACACCAAACTCCAATTTTTTGAGCGTGTAGAAGGCCCTCGACAAAAAAGTTATCTGGTTTTTCAGAAGACCACATTCTCATATTCTGTGAGTTTACGTAACCACATAAATGAAACCAGGCTTCATCAGAAAAAAAGGTGATATTATGAAGTTCACCGTAGTTCTTTAAAAACCATTCACAAAATACAGCCCGTCGCGGAAAATCAACTTCATGAAGTTCTTGCTAACAAGTTAAACGATAGGAGAACAAACGCAAATCTTTTTTAACACTGTATGGCAGGTACCGACTGATACTCCCACCATTTGTGATAAAACACGTACAGAAGTTCTTGGCGCATTTTCCATTATTTGTTGGACATTTTCTTTTAATTCTTCAGTCCGCTTTTTAGGTCGGCCGCTTCCTTCTTTTCTTGTTACACTGCCCATTTCACGAAAAACATTAACACAACGCTGAACTGCACTTTGAAAAATTGTGTACTCAACAACGCCGGGAAATTGATTTTGAAATTCTATGAAACATTCCTCAATAGAATACTTCCATATTCCATCAATCTTGCGTCCATTTCTAAAGTAGGACTCTATGATAAACACTTTTTGTTCTTGAGAAAACACCATTTTAAACGCTTTTTAAAACGAAAATATTCAAATTGATAGCGACGATATAGCGCTTTGACAGATGACGTTTAAGTTCATTTGCTATACGCTACGCCCTATGTCCAAATTTTCAGAACCAACTTGACCACGTTTTTATTTGAACGCTCGTTACGTTCAACTGACTTCGGAAAAACTATACCCGATATGCTATTCCATACATAACCCTACACTATATACTTTATAAATCAATAAAAAAATTACACTTTTTAATTAAAAATCTGTATTTTCTATCAAAATTACTTCTTGCGTGAATTTTGTACCACTCTATAAAAAATCAACTTCGAAAAATTAACTTATTAACTTATTTTACTCTAAATTTTAGAAACTATACCGAAGCTTCAGCAGCAAAGTTTTTATTTAATTAATTAACACTTTCGTAAAACCTGTAAAGGCAACATAACCATAAACAAAATAATGGGCTTTAAACAAGTAATATAAATATTTTTAAATCCATATCACATAGAATGTAATGATTTACTAAAGACATCTGGCTGACTGACAGCCTAATGGGTAAAGTTATATTAAAAAACTTCGTACATAAAATTTATTGCTGAACAGAAAATGTAATATTTTTTGTCTATCAGAGTTAGATGTGATATTTTAAAAAATGCCGTTTTATTTCAGCTAAATGTATAATATAAAAGGAATATTTACTGTTCATGAAAACAATATTTTTTAAAAATAGTTAGAACTACAATTTTCCACTGACTAAGAAATAATTATTATAAAAGCGTTAAATAGAATTGTTATTGTTGTGACCCATTTCAGATGAAAATATCTTGTAAAAAAAATTTTTATTATTCGATTGAATTCGAGGAGGTACAAAGGCGTAGTCAGATTTCAAATATAAAAAATGGCTAATCAATGTTTGTCTAAGGTAAAGAAAAATAGGCTGTGAAAACTAAAAATAAAAAGCTTTTGAGTTTTTTAAGCTCTATCTCTCGAAAAATAAACAAATTTAAGCGGACAATAAATACCTCTTCTACAAAGGAGTTTCCATTTAAAGTGAATTACTGGATGACACTATACTATACTAGGGTGTTTCATTCATAATGTCATTAATTTTAACCATGTATTCGGAAAGCCTAATAAAGACAGAAAATGGGAAAACAAAATTTTTCTTGACCTTTTAAAAAATAAGCAAATTACCCCTTAACTCCCGGTACTTCCACTTCGTAATAGAAAACGCGCCGCGCAGGTCGGCGGAATACACGACCGGACGTTGTAGCGAAACAGCTGATTTCCTAGTCGTCGTCTCGTCCAGTTTTGCAATTGCTTTCAAAAAAAGACTATGGACGGATGAGTGAGTGTTTTTAGCCGTACTGTCATTTTAAATGGGTAGGTACCATACTACTCTTTGAAAACGTATAAGGTATATGTACTACAAATTGAATAATTACCTTCTTGAACATATGTACCTACTACAAACATATTCAATTATAAAACAGTGAGAACGTTAAGAATAGGTATTAAAGTTAGGTACGGTAGGTTAAGATTCACTCTCGATGTAGGTCAGCGGTCAGCAGCGGTCCGAAACGGGGTTTAAATAATGATTTAAAAAAAATTTTTCAGCGTAAATATGCATTTTAAAATTTTTTATAATCGCATATTCGTATTCTACTCCTTTTTTCATATCTTCCCTTAAAATTGATGATATTATGACTGAAACACCCAGTATATGACCTCAACAACATCCATAAAGCATCGCAAAAAAATAATTTCGTGGTTCATTAAGATGAATTTTGTTTCTTATTGACAAGCGTAACTAACTAAAAAATTAGGATAAATTATATTTCTGTCATAGAG